AATTTTCTCACTATATTGCTCATCTCCTCTGTGAAGTCCAAAGTCAGCTAAAGGGTTAATGATAACTATAAAAATATTTGCATTGAATTTTATCACAGTAAGTGAATATACAATGACCCCAGCATTGACATCGCCCTTTTTCGGAACCTGACCATTCTCGACAAGGCAGAAATGACATAAATCATGATTGAAGTTCACTGAACACTGATACTACCCATTATTTATTTTGAAAAACATATAATTATGTTAAAGCTGCCATAGTTGCTTAATAAAAATCCCTGAAGTAATGGATGTTTATATCAAACCAAAAGGATTACCCAATCCTTTAATTTATTGTCTACATATACAATATTCTACTCTAATTTCAAATTTTAATTAAAATAATTTTAGAGTGAACAGAAAAGAACATAACTACATAATATAAGAATGATCAGAAGTTTGTGGTGAGCATATGGCTGAACCGAGGAATCTCATGGACTCTCGAAAGTTCTGTTACGGGAGGCGTGCCACTGATCCCGTTTGGCTGTGTTGCTGATCACGTTGGGGAGTAAATGCGGTCTCGAGTACAGGCACCTCCCAAACTATCAACAATCATTAGTGACAGCATAGTGATCGAAACCAAAACTGTATTTAATGACTAAGTTCTATGCCAATGACAGCACAACACGAGCAAACGCTTTCACGACATATGCTGTTTCCTTAAAAGTCAAGGTTTATATGTGTAGCATGACTTACACGTCAGAGTGCCAAAAGCGACTCTATATATATATTTGAATTATGGATTCAGAATTCAATATTTTTTATCTAATATTTACTACCCTTTGCTTATTACTGTTTATGTAGTGCGGAGCTAAATGTCTTATCGATTGACTTGGATTATTAGTCTTAACTTTCCAATATTCCCTGTTAATTTATAAATGCAATTCATATAACAATCAATTTTTAGGTTCTTTCCCAATGACTTTAAACTATTTTCTTTATTTATTTTTTTTTATTCACATAATTTATTTGAACCTTCATCAAGCGGTCTCGTCTGCTTGTCTTCTTTATGTTAGACCAGTCACCGTCGTATCACAAATTCACTTTCCAGATCCAAATTGATCGGTCAATTCGATTGGAATCATTTTTTTGTGCTTATCTTACGAAGAATTGACAATAAGCAATTATATTCCAACATATTTCTTTCATTTGTGGAATCAGATTTGATCTTGTGAGACTCTCCTTATCATTGAATAATAAGCCCATAAACCTTATTCTTGAAAAATAATAAATTTTAGCATTAATTAATTAAATTATTTATAATTGATATTTATTTGTGAATGTATTTATTTACTGGTGGATATTAACATATTTCTTAAGGGTAAACTGCAAGTAATAAAAAGTGAAAGGTTCGAAGTCTATAGAAATGTATAAATAATGTATACATTAAATTCCATTAAGGTATAATTCAATTTAGCCCAGTTGTATCTATCGATATTTCTTCACTATTTTCGTATAAATTTTCTCAATTAACTCCTTAAAAATAGATTAAGAATCATTATTATACTCTGTAACTTATAAATAATTGTGGTGTATATATATTCTTAAAGTATACGCCTTTTATAGATTTAAGAGTGGTTTTCACGAACGTTCTTCATTTTGATTAAGCATATTTTATTAAAACGTTACAGTAATACGTGCATCTATACTAACTCTGTCCCAGTAAGATAGGGCGAACTGTTTAATATAATTTAAAATCGTCTTACTTCCTAAATCTTTTGGCAGGTCTATGGGCTTAGGGATGATGAGGGGGAGGGGGGGGGGAGGGTTTGGGAGGGGGTTAGAGGTCATCGTCATGATCAAACAACCGGTCACTCATCACTGAGTCTCGTAGACAAAGCAATCTACCGAACCAATCAGGATATTCGAATGTTTGGAACAACAATTTTAAATATTAGGTGAAATTTGGTTCTCATAGCACCTCAACTTAACGCCAAAATCTACCTTTCACCCTTTGCCCGACCAGAATGTAAAATAGTAAAATTTTGCGCCTTGAAATAACTCCTCGGGTCATTTAAAAAAGCAACTACTAAGGTAAAAATTTAATTGGAAATTAAATTAAATGCCCTTACTGACTGCTACATTAGTATATTTCTAAAAGCATGGCGATGAAACGAAAATAAATCGGTGATTTCAAATATAATTCATTGGCAGGCAATATCTTTGCATTTAATTTGTTTTCAAGAAGGAAGAGATGGGTTACTTTAATTTACGAAAGGTTTTACAATCTTAGGTGGTAGAGGATACGTTATAGTCATTAATTTATGAAAAATTTAAAGAAAACTATCCATACATTATCTCGTTCAAACTCAGAAGATTGTTTATCCTGGGTTTTAATGTACCAGTACTTCTATAAACGACTCATTTTCTAATGTCATCATTTTCTCGTCTTTTATTTTTTGAATCAATTTGAAGGGTATCGTAATTATCTTTCAAGTTCTAGCGGTGCTAACTTAAACGAATTTGTTTTGAGTTGCAAAAAAGACAAATTGAGGGATTTCAGTCTTGAAATCACGATTTCTACATGATCTAGTGGCAGTTATACCTTTCAATTTAATTTTTTGAGATTAGAGAGCGTTCAGTCGGATATTGGATTGGTAGAACCATGGCTAGTGGATGAAAATTGTAGCAGATGTCATTTCCAATTTGCAAGGGTTTATACATATTTATATTTGCACCATTTCGCATTTCATAATTCCATTCTTATAGTTACTGAACCAAGATAGCTTAATGATATAACCATCATTGACTTCGACAAATCAGAGCTTGCTTAAATTCATTCCTAATGAACTTTACTAATACTTTAGAATGTCATCTTTCAATTTTTACTTCCAGTGATCTAAAGCTAATCTTTGAGTCGATGATTGAAACCAAAGTGATAGAATATCTTCCCTAGAAAAAATGATGAAAACAGTAAATTTAGGCCATTACTTAATCTCTAGCCTTACTTCGGAGTCATAAATCAATTATAATAAGGAGTGTTAAGGAAATCCCTCCCACCTCTTTAAGATAAACTCTCTTAAGAAATCGGCGTCTTGGCCAAACAAACTAATTAATGTGAGTTACGTTCAGACCGGAATCGAAACTCCGACTGACATTTAGTCATAACACTGGAGTCGCCTGAGATGAAATGTATTAGTCGGGTTAGTCTGCGAGCTTAAATCTAGGGTACAAGCCCTTTTTACAATCATTCTAAGCACTATTAAGCAACAAATACCGCCTAAAAGGTACCAATTGTTTCAGATTTAACAGCCGCAATAATTGGAATACATAATGCTAATTGAACGTCAGGCACGTATCAAATTGAATTAATTCTAGTCAAATGAAATTGAAAATAGTATCTTAATTCTATGGGTTATGTTATAAGGTCTCTGAAATAGACTCTAGGTATTAGCCACAATCCAAAAGTTCCTTTTTACTCAGTTTACACAAGTGTAATTTCCAAAGTTAAGTTTAATAACAACTTTTCGAATATATTTAGTTTTATATGCTTTTACAACGAAATGCAATTATTCGATCATTTCTAATAGGTTAATTAGCATATTGAATATATTATTTAAAACCTATCAGGAATACTAAATTAATTAATTTGTGGTTAATTAAACTATTCTGAATAATCAATCATTTTAATATATTTAAAGCGGTTGTTATTAAAGTCGTGATAATCTAAGTGTTATTTCGAATGACAAATATATATTGTTTAGAAATTTTATTTGCTCGTGAGGGGATCGATTTTATCGATTTTTCACCGAAAGATGACTCACAGTTATCGATTGTTAAAACTTTCACATAAATCGATATTCACATATCAAATAAAAGATAAGAGATTAATAATGGAATGATTTTAACTTCTCTCCGACAGTATATTCTATTGTTTTGCAAATGCACTTTAGGACTTAAGTGAGGTAATAAAATAAACCTTAGCACTCTAAGATAATGGTAAACAAATAGAATTAAAATTAAAACAGCCAGTTTTTCAACATCTGGTGTTGGTAAAAGTTAATTTTCTGATAGCCTAGATTCAAACCACTCTTGGCCATGGAAACTGTGTTTCGTGAGTCATCCAGTAACTAATCAATGAGAACTAGATAGTTATTCGAGTGGAAATTAAAAAAAACTAGGTCTATAATTTAGCAAAACTCAGCTAAGCAGTCACGACTTATGCTGGTTGGGAAAATTTAATTGTAAGCATAACTCAGTGGTTGATAAAAATATTTGGGTGATTTTTCACTATAAATTTAACACTAATTAACCGAAAATTTTTCGTTGCTTTAAAAAATAAACTTAAGCTTAATAAGCTTGAAGTGAAGACGATATTTGCAATTATTCTAATTAAATAAGCTGTGGTTGTTAATTCCGGTATGCTATGTGCTGTCACTAAACTGAGTCAGATGTGTATAAGGAATTAATTAAATTCCACCGTCTATCTCAAGTGAGTCAAGTCAATTTTAATTTCTAATTAAAGGCTTAATCAAACAGCAATTAACGCCAATCAATGCAACCAAATCAACTTTCTCGAGTGGCGTATGCAAATTACCATCAGTGATTAGGGTAAGAGAATGACATTTTAACAAACATGTATTATGAACACTATTTTCATTTTCATTATGCTCTAAAATAATCATACTAGGACTCGTTATGTTTAGCAAATAAGTATAATGTTCCAACACATTTTCGAGCCCACAATAAAGGCTAAAAATCTTGAGGATAATGTCCCATTATTTTATTCAATATATTTACACAAGGTAGACGTTGACACCATAACGACAAAATTTGGAGTGGATCAAGAGGTCTTTTGGGGATGGATAGGGAAAGAGAGGGAGGAAGAAAGGCGGTACAAATACACACAAAATTTTAGGCAAACAGTTTTTCAAAGGGCAAGAATCCGTGCTCAACTGATAATCACAGGCACACTGGACATGCCAAAAATTGGAAGAATGGAGTAGGGAGAAAAAACGTTTTCAATTTACCGGACTCAACTTTGAAGGCAAAGAAGGTGGGGGAGGGGAAACTAAGGGTACCTGTGAGGCCAAGGTCATATCTCCAGGAGATAGTTGATTGGCTGATGCAGCGATTTGGACAACTCGTGAAACAAGGTTGCAAAATGAGTTTGGAGATAGGAATGGAGGAGGAGGACCCGCAGGAGGCAGGAGGGAGGGGTTGGGTGATGGATTCTCCATAAGTGCATTAGGAGAAACACTAGGAGGAGGAAGCTTCTTTAATCCACCAGACGACCCTCCATTACTAGAGGCACTAACGCTCGATTGATATTGGAAATGCGTTTTCAAATGTGATAGAACGTTGCTCATAACAGGGTAGCGATTTCTTGCGACAGAAAAGCGCACAGCACATGTTCTTTCGCGTTTCTCTCGACAGAGATGACAGTAGAAGATGCCAGTCACTCGTTTTTGACCATTTTCACCCCCACCTGTGACCTCCATCTCCATGTCAAAGTGCTGCCCACGCACAAGATTGGCGTTGACAAATTGTCGAGCGGCTAAGCGACATGCACTAGCGGAGGAATGATGAATAAGTCTTTCCACATCAATATTATCAGAAAATGAATACCTTGATTGAGGAGAGGTGGATTGAGATTGTGTTGGCAATGGGAATCTGCCTCCATTCATACAGTCCAGGAGTCTTTTACAATCTCCATCAAAGGAGGAGGAAGGATTTGGCAGGGATGGATGATTCGCAAAAGAAAGATTATCTGTGGAAGAAATATGGGCAGGGGGAGGAATGAGACTTGAGTCGACTCCTCCGTTTGCAAAAGCAGGATCTGGAGGACTACCTTCAGAAGATGAAGCCATGGATGATACACCGGGATTCGAGCAATCCGTTTGTGTGGCAACATCGGAAATTACATTATAGGATGTAGAGGGTAGTGTTAGAAAACCATTTGATCTTTTCAGTTCCTCAACAGCTAAGCGAAGACCACAGACAACACCAGCAGGTAGCTTAAAATTACTCGGATGTCGAGCGTATAATGGACCAAGGAAATGCTGACGAATTTTATGAGAAGTAATCAGACCACAAGTGGTGCCAACGAAATTCTCCAATCTTCGAATATTCGTCTCATTATTCAGGCAGGAAAATACGACTGCATTGTCAAATCCAGCTAATTCTAAACAATTTATGACGTAGTCAGCTCGTATATATTTTCGAATTAATTCACGGAGAGCTGGATCCATGGGATTCAGAGCAGCTGAAAAGTATTGGTTTTCGTCGCCTTCACCACCACCTACCTCACAAACGGTATAATCTTCATTCTCATCACCTTCGGAAAAATCCGTTTCCCCGCCTAAGGGTTCACCTGGAGATAGACTTGGTTTGCTTTCTGGGGCCCGATTGTCTAGGGTATCCTCTTCGTTGTTTTCAGAAACAGAGTTAATTGAACTTTTTATTCGTTTTTTGAAGGATGGGTCAGAATCATGCTCGTAAATACTGCGTTTACGCATGTCGACCACTTCATCATTACAGTCCATTTTCCTTCCTAAAGTTAGAGGATTACAATAAAAAATTAACTTCATAAAATCAAGGAATAAATATCCTCAAAACAAAAAAATGAGATAAAAATATTTAGCAATAATTTCAGTGTCAACTTTTCCACAGAAATATATCCAAAATTGGTTCCACAATCAGTTCAATGATCACAAAAGTCAAATAAATTCTTTATCATTATTAGTCGAATTAAAAAGCAACCTCAATAAAAAAGGGAAATAGCACTTACCACAAATCGCGAATACTTATTACCTCAAGATGGATTATCCCGAGAACTCCTTTATTAACTCCTAATAAATAGGAGTAAACATAAAAGAACGTTGCGATTGGATGAAAAATGATATTAAACTAAGTCATCATTGGTTGAGGTCACTAAATACCCGATTGGTTCATTCTATTTGAATAAAGAAATAAATATTACAAGGTTAAAAAAGATAATTAATCAATTTAAAGTATAAAAATCGAATAACTGCAATTATTAATAAGCTATAGTTTTACAAACGTTTATGCAACAAGCTCATAATTTCTTTAACAACAAATCATTTGGTAAAAATTGGCATTGTCCTAAGGCTAAACATACATTGGACAATGAATTTAATTTATTCTTATCAAATTCTCATTATAGAGAAAACCACAATTTTCTTAAGGCCTATATGTTTCCGTAAATAGTTTGAATTTTTTTCATTTGATTCAGAAAACATTGAAAGGTAAAAAACGAATTTAGACCCGTGCCTGATATAAAAATTATCTACCACTTAAGATTGTCCATATAAATTTCATTAAAAACGTGTAACCTAAAATTTTTCTAATTGTAAGAAGATAATTGTCAAAATTGACACATGAACTTTGACGCATTCTCACATTATTCAAATTACCGTTATTATCGAAAGACAATCAATCACGAAAATTTTGGTAGCCATCTCACAAATAGACAATGCTTACATATTTATAATTCATCGTAATTATGTTTGGTGGGAAATTTGCCTTGAAGAATTTTGGGTATTGGCAAATATCGTTGGATTGATTTGAATAAATTGATTATATATTTAATACCAATTTAAAAGTAAAATCAAGTCAATTTAAATTAACTCAATTGCGTTTCAGGAATTTTATTTCTTTGCAGGCCAGGCCTGGGCAAACAATTGAAATTATGTTGTTGGTCATCGTGACAGTCGGTATTAAAATAAAATGTGTCAAAAATGTTTGATATTTCCTTAAATAATGTACTGCAACGCAAAAAATATTTCCATCACACTTTGAAATTAAGGTATTTTATCTTTATTTATTATATATTTTCATAATATTTCGTGGATTTGAGTTCAAATTCTAATAGTTATTATGGAGATACGGTACAGGAAATTTTGGTAATCAATTTGAATAATAAATTCTAAATTTTATGGATATAACTATAATATTACTCCGATTATAGTGAAATATAAAATATCGCATTTTTTTTATTCAAAATTATTCCATCTGAATAAATGATTAATTATAACTTGACACTACTTGGAATCAATTAGAGCACTTTATTTGAACTCACAGTGATAGCAGAATAAAATAAAAACAGCAATAATAACGAAAATAATATGATATTATACATAGACTAGAATTTTAAAAAAAATATTATATTAAATATTAAATATTATAATGGAAATGTTTAATAAATTAGATTAATTTGTTTTACATGCTAAAAATGATAAGCGGCTAAAGTAAGTCATAACGTTCGTTAGTCCTTGTGTTTTGGGCTGGAGTCTCTACTGTAATAGTTTTTATTGATTTTATTTATAAGGAATTTAAGTCTTTTTGTTATTAACTATAATCGCATTTCTAGCAGGATTTTTAGATAATTTATTTCAGTTATGTTATTTTTCCTGCATATTACATATTGTATTTTGATTTCAATTTATTCAGTTTTCTTCTATTTTGCCCTTTTCTTATTTTTGGTCAACTTTCTCAATTAATAATATTTAGCCTTATGTGTAGTTTATATTTCGTATAATTTTTGTCATTTGGTAATAATACTTGCATGTATCATTAGCCTTCTGAGATATTATTTCTATCTTGTCTATTATTTTAATGGTTGTACATTTTGATAGTTTATTCATCGTCAAGTGAAATGGATACCGGAATGAATGCATCGGAGAATTCGCATTCCCATTCTGATGATTTGGATAAAGGATCTGATGAACAGACTGGTGGTGAATCATCCTCGAAGAAGACTTCATCCGAATTCGACGAAGCACCTGCCCCAAACCTCCATAAAAATAGGGAAAAGAATGATGTTCCTAATAAAACATCGCAAGCTATTATGAAATTACCGAAATCAGAAAATGAACCGGTAGTTCTTGATGATAAACACGAGGAAAATTCACATGCTGCTTCGAGGAGTGATGATTCACAAGGCATGCAGAGTTTCAACACTGTCTTTAATGCTGAAGAAATCGATTCCAACTCTAAAGAGTGTGAAGAAGACCGAGATAAACATGACGAAGAGAGTCAAAATATCGAGGCGGAGGAGGACTTGGTGTACTCTGGAGAAGGAGAGGAAGAAGAAGAATATTCGGATGATGAGGACGAAGATGTGCCTATTATAAATCGCCGAAGACATTTTGGGGACTCTGATGAGGAGGAAAGTTGTGAAGAAGAAGAAGAAGAAGAAATCATACAAAATGAACCACATCGTGATGTTACATCTGAAACAGATGATAATAGCGAGCAAGATCAGCCACAAATTGAAGATAGAATTGCCGACAAGGAAAAGAACGCAGAGGCTGAAGTGGGTGCAAAGGTCAAAAGACCCAATCGTCGCGATCCCACTTATGTCCCTAGAGAAGGAGCCTTCTTCATGCATGACGCTAGAGATGCTTCAGATAATGAGGAGAATGACGAACGACGCCAATCTCTGAGGCCTAAGCCCTCAAAAAATCGACCAGGTATTGCAGCAAAGTGGTCTCATGATCTTTACGTTGAACGTGAGCAGCAACCACTTTCAACAAATGAAATTATCTCCCGCTATGGTTACAATATTCGTGAAAGAAGAGTTGATCAGATTGACGAGGCAGCTTCTCCTGCATCTGTTCAAAGGCGTTCAAACAATCATGGTGGCCGAGGTCATAGACGCTTTTATAAACCATCCCAAAATCCTCCCCCTAAATCTAAATCAGTTGCTTTCGCCGAGAATGATTTCCCTTCTCTTCAAGAAGCCGAAGAATTAAATAGAGAACAAGGATCGCGAAATTCATATCATCAAAGACGTGGTGGTTTCTCCTTTAGTAGGCGTGGAAACTCCCATCCAAGAAGTTCTGATTTCCACAGCAATAATCCCCCGAAAAGTGAGGAATCACAAATCAGTCAGACTGAACCTCAAAAACGCCAGATCCGCGGAAATAAATACCAAAGGGATGAAGGTATTCGTTCTGATCCCCAAAAACGTCCTCATGGACGTCTTTATTTTCATCCTGGTCCCAGTCGACGGAATCAAGATCCAAGACCTGGAGTGGATGTGCTTACCTATAACTCTAATAGTAAGCGCTACTCTACAAATCGACCTCAAAATAGTGCTAATTCTCAGTCAGAACGTCAACCAACAAGGCAAGTGGTGATCAGAAATCAACCCAAGCAGAATCAAAGATCGCAGATTAGTAGATCCTATAACAATAATAGGAATGCTCAACGACATGAACAAAATCGGGGTAGGCAGGACTGCTCTGATTCCCGTGTTGACCAGAGTAAAGGTTAGTTTCTCCTTATGTATATCTTTTAATTTTAACTGACTTTATTTTTACATTTTATTCATGTGTTTTATGCTAACCCTAAGCTTTAGTTTCGCTATCTTCAATCATTTAACCGACCTTATTTGTCAAGTATTCGTATTCATTTTTCATTGGATTGATTTTAGAAAGGTTAGTATTAGTTCCGGTTATAAAGTAGCGATGACAATTAAATAATTTGTGAAATCAGGTTGTTTGCATTTTGGCTACTCTTCCTTCGTCTTGATCAATTCTTACTCAATATTGATAATCCTGTGTCTGAAATGGACCAACTTTTAGAATGATAATGCAGTTTTAGGTTTGTTTCATCGACATAATTGTTAATTGAAACGCTTACTTGTTTTTTTTATTGTACCATTGAACAAACGATGGACTTTTTGTGCTATAGGACTTTAAAACTCGTTCTTTTATGGTGTTAATAATCATTTCTTCTATTGACCGATACAATTTTGGCATTATAACTCTGCCACCTTGATATCATTAAACCTAGTGAAAATTTGTCACTTTATCCCTTTTAGTAATCGCCATTTAAAAAAAGTAGATTTTATCTCTTACAGATTTCGTTTACAATGATTATTAGCTCAGAAATTACCAAAATGGGATTTCACGAGCTCCATTATTTCAAAATGGCGCCACTACTCAATATTCTAATATTTTTCAACTCAGGTGTACGGCTTCTATAATTAGACGACGAAGCTGGACTCCTTAATATATAATTTGTTGAAGTCTTCGTATTTCCTGTGGATTTCTTATGTCCAGTATGATCTGTTGTTAAAATAGATCAAGTATTTCATGAATATCAAAAAATATGTCGCAAGCATCAATGAAGCTCTTGTCCTTGGAAGCTAAATCTCCGTTTCTTATTATCAATTATTATTATTTCAAATGGCAGTCTTTATGATATTTATCATTATCCCTTAGTTGACTTCAGCTTTCCCCACGGGGGGGGGGGTAGAACATATATAGCAGTTCATTGGTTGTCTTCTGGCTTCCCAGTATCTTCGGGTTTCCGTCATTGTCTTTAGGGCTGGACGTCGAATCGGGTGGGTCTTCTCCATTTCCTCCTGTAGGTTACATAGGGATAGGCTTACCTCCGCGTGGTGCACCCTGGACAACGTATATTCATACGGTAAAAAGTCTATTACTTGGCATTTGACTTCAATTTTTACTATCATAGAGTGAAGTTACATAATGTAGGTTAGTTGATAACAACTTGAAGGCCGAAAATAAATTTAAGTAGAAATTTGTGCTGTTTAAAGCAGGAACAAACTCATAATACTTGAATAAATACAGCCATCATCTGGTGGTGTCTTTATGAAAAGGTGAATTTATAACAATTAGTTACAATGGTCAACAAATCTTTGTCACTTTGGAGTCCACACCTGCTGTTGATTAATGGCTATCGTGTTCGATTGTGATTATTTATTTAAAGTTCGCGTAGAGCCATTTGACGTTGGCTGCGTAAGATGCACGCCTTTTGTGAAAGGCTTTGTGGCCATTTCTTGTGCATTCTAAGTTAGTTCTCCCAATTCCACAAGTGAGGGTTACTGTTCTGATCTCGTTTATTGCCCTTATTTTCCATTTATTCGGGCTTTGGTGTTTGTCGTTTCTTTATTGCTCAATTTTTTTATTTAAATGAAATATATATATATATATATATTTATATATATATATATATATATTCATTTTTATAATAGATTAAACTAATCATCTGGTTATATGCCATTCTAATAATTATTATGAATTAGCGTAGCCTTGCTCTATACAAATTTAGTCTTGCAGGTGAATTTGTTTTAGCTATCTACCATTCCATTGTATGCCCACTGCCGTTGAATAATTTGCGGTGTATTCAAGGCTAACTGACGGGGTCTTATAGACCCACGAGGTATTTTTTACTTCCTGTGGAATATCGGGGTATCGTAAGTACATATCGTTTGAAATCTTTTTTTGAAAAAACGATTTCTGCTTCTGTCAATATGCTATTAANAAAGGGATGTGCGATAGACTTACCTCCACGTGGCGCACCCTGGGCAACGTATACTCATACGGCAAAAAAGTCTATTAACCGGCATTTGACATCTGACTTCAAACTACCATGACCCCCCTGGTTGTCATATTCGACCCCTTCCACAGTACTCACCTTACCTTTTTCTCTAACTTTGTGTCTGTCTGCCTCTTTTGCATCTGTGAATCGCTTTTCTGTTCCCCACCCCTCGACTTTCTGCTACTTTGATGAACCTTCCCTCTGTGAAGCCCGAAGTCAGCTAAATGGCTAATGATATCTATCAAAACGCCTGCCATTTGAAATAAGTAAATACATTAATGATGAAATAATACGCTTTGCTTAAAGGCGCGTTAATTTTAATGATTGCAGTTTCTTCATAAGAACAAGAATTGCGTATCGCTTTCAATTTATTCGATTTTTGACAAAAGAAACCTAATTATTGCTGCTAAATTTTCCTCTCACTTAGTGATGAAGGACAATGCAACTGAAGGCATTTTACCGTATTTATTTAGAATTTAATTACCTTAAATTGGGAATATATGGCGACATTCATTTCTCGCTTTTAAGAGGCAAATGTATTGTTCTGCTAAAGGACATGCACAACTTCAAAAAATAGTCTATATTATTTTCAGTAATTTTAGAAAAAATTTGGGATGTACTTTTTTCAATCTATAGTTAAAGAGACAAATTTATATTGACTATAAATGTAATAGTGAAACACATAACCACTTATATTGAAAAAGTATTATCGAATTATATACATTTCATCTCATGGCCGATTCTATAATGCTTACATTCCGAGTGTTTTCATTAAGTTAGAAAAGTTAACTCACACTCATGCACCGTTATTAATCGGCTTTGTACCTTGGCTTATACAGATTGATTATTTTGTTCAAGATTTTCCTCAACGGTAAATATTATTCTTTGCGTTCATGCAAAATCAAAGTTTTAAAATTAACAAAGGCTAAATTTTGTTTAAAAATATTAATCTCCGTTTGAACCTTTACTGTTAGTATACGTGATCAAGCATTGATTGATTAAGTAAGTAAGTAGATTTTCAGTTTATCCTACTATTTTATTTACGAATACTTTATGTATTATCATCTTGAATCTTAACATTAGTTTCTTTCAAAATGTACCGATAATAAAAACGTTTTTCTGTGAATGTTAATTTATTTTTCAATATGCACGCATTTTTTGATTTGCTTGAAAGGGCAACCATTGTTAAGATCAAATATAAATATTGCTAACATTATTTCGGACAATCTTCATTTCATGGATAAAAATTCGCATTTTATCAATAGGTGAGTAGAGGTCTCCATTTTATCTTCAATTTTTATTTACGTGGTTTGATCCAACATTGTCATTAAAAGTACATTGGTTCAAGTCACTGCCTGACCACTTTTAATTATTAGCGCACATTATTTCAATGCTTAGTTAACGTTAAAATCTCGCAATTCATTTGCTTTGATGTGTGAACACAACTCAAATATGAATGACAATCATTAATCAATCAATAGCGTCCTTATAAAATTTAATTTTGGCATTTAATACTTTAGCAAAGAATTTTATACATAATCAGTTTTAATAAGAGCATTCTATTCGAAATTTTTTTTCTTTACAACAGTTATATATATTTATTTATCTATTTATTTATCTAATTGCTTAAAAGACCATTGTACTAATGAAAATAGACCTCAGTTGTAATTTGCTTTCTTTATCATTAATCATCTGTTCCCAGAAAACTCTATTAAAATTTGAATGTACTGCGTCCTTGCGATCTTCCGTTTCATTTAAAGAAAAACTATCAAACTTCTGTCTTCCCAAAGTCAACGTCAAATCCATAGATTTGAGCTCTGACTATTGAAATTTTACTGATAATTCTCTTTGCTTGCCTTATCTTAAAATATAAGCACTTACCTTATTGAAGTAGGCATTAAAATTTTACCTTCCAATAAATGTTAGCACTTCCCATATTTGGCCTTGAATCGAAGGTTTGTAAACTTGATTGATTACCAGAACCTTCTTAAAATATTAGTGATTTCATCTTAAGGCATGAAAGACTAATATCTTCAAAGGAAACTCGACCAAATTGAAACCTTTTAATATAGTAATTAATCATAGCGCATTTTGCGATTGAGTTCACGAATAAGCTATTAATTATCTCATTTTTAGGAAGCATCCCACTAGTAAACATTTATTCTCCCGAGCAAAATATTTTAATGCGGGAAAATACTGCAAGCATTAGTATAAATGTTCAAAAATCTTTATTGCTACTTCTAACTACTTCATATTCATGGCTTTTTAAACAATGCAACTTTTTTAGTCAAAATAGGCTGAGATTCTTCTTTATTTAATGACTCCTGAAGTTGACAAAACACTTTGATGTGAAGATAGTGTAAATAAGAGAAAAGTATTGTAAACCAATTCGTTTTAAATATACTAACATTGCTCAGCTCAGCTACATTGAAATATTGACATTGATCGAGATTGTAATAGAAGTATAAGCTTTTTTTTCAAAATTTAAAAAATTTTTCTGAATATTTTTTTTTGCCCGAATCATAGGGCTAGTTTATGATGAGAACACATTCTCCCCTCGCCTATAATTAAATACCATTTGCGGGAAATGGAGTGACGCGTCTAGTGGAAAATAAGGTGCTGGAAGGAGACGACGGCCCAATAAAAACTGTTTTTAATGGGAAGCAGAATTAAAGACTTTTTGTGCATTTTTTGGATTGCTTTAAGGGTGTTTTTCTGCCTCTCTAGGTTTAAATACCCTGAAATTTGTTTATTCATTTGCATCAAATGGCAGGCGTTTTGATAGTTATCATTAGCTCTTTAGTTGACTTCTGGCTTTACAGAGGAGAAGGAACATTAAAGTGACAAAAATGGCTTTACAGAGGAGAAGGAACATTAAAGTGAAAAGAAAGTCGAGAGGAGGGGGGAGGAACAGAAGAGTGTTTT